TCTCTCTCTCTCTCTCTCTCTCTCTCTCTCTCTCTCTCTCTCTCTCTCTCTCTCTCTCTCTCTCTCTCTCTCTCTCTCTCTCTCTCTCTCTTTATATATATATATCACGCTCTCTCACTCGTTTCTTTCACTTGTTTGTCTGCATAAGATCAATGACCGCGTGGGACACATAAAGCTTTTTCAGTTTCGCAGGAAAGGAATTAATTTTGCCGGTGGTGGCCGAAGCCTGTCGATTTTAGGACTACCAAGGAATATCAATTAATGTGCGCAACTTGCACACAGGACCTTCGAATTTTTTTTCCCTCAAACAAGAAGGATATGTGTTAAATCTTACTTATCATAAGATCGGGGAGGGGGGGGGCGTGTGGCTGAAAAATAGCATTGTGAATTTAAAGAGCCAATAATCAGGTCTAGCAATAGAAAGGCTGCAGAAAGAGTCGGGAGCCCAGAGAAGGTGAAAGGGGAAAAATGTCTGGAAAAGAAAATTTTACCTTCACTGTCAGGTTCTGAACCCGGGACCTTTTGAATGAGACGCGAACATCACAACCTCCAGGCCACAAGACCCCCTCTCTAATCTATCTATCTTCTCTCTCTCTCTCTCTTCTTATTCTTTCTTTCTCTCACTCTCAGCTTCCCCCCCCCCCCCCCTTATTGACTCTCCAAGAAACAAACGAAGACATACGCAACATCAATTTAACAATAACAACAGCTTATGCACGAATATTATATAAATAATTCATATGCACGCGCGCGCACGCGCACACACACACACACACACACACACACACACACACACACACACACACGTATACACACGCAAACATGACCGAGTTAATAATGATAGTATAGTGTACACCTTTTTATTATTATTTATGCCCTCATGTACCACAAACCCTGTGATTTTTTTTTCTTTCGATCTTCCCAAAACCCTCGTTCTGCTGATTATAGAACAATGTTTAGACAGCATCAAAGATACAACTTTGATATAGCAAAGGATATCAACTTCGCAAAGACTCTTTATTCCCAAGATTGACTAGTAGTGTTTTGAGCCTAGGAGTTAAATTAATAATCATTACAATAATACATGTAATAGCTTTACCCGTAGTGGAGTATCTTTGGCTCAACCCTGGATCGGTGCACTTTAAATGGTGTTCCCAGTGAAATTTTTGCCAACACATGGAGTATAGAGTGCCACGAAAGTCTGGCAACTACCAACGAGACTTCCGGTTATTGTTGCGACAGGAAGTAAGTAGACCAAGAATTAGTGCTCTCTAAGCCAAGGCTGGGTTACCTTGTTGGCTCCAATCTTGTTTGTGAGGGAAGTCGGTTGCCAGTTGCCAGAGTTGTCTGGCATGAAACTGGATTAAATTGACAAACAGGAACCTTATCTTCTTTACTTTTGATCAGTTTGGACAAATTACAATGAGTGACTTATCAAGCCTTCTTTTGGTAAGTGAATGAAATAACAATGTTAACAGTTTATAAAGATTTGTTGATTTTTTTCTCTTGAGACACCTGCATTTTCAATTTTTTGGTGGTAATCTGGACTTTCGGTGAACAGCTGATTGGTGATTGGTGATCTTGTAGTTTCGTTCGTTAAAGTCCTCGATTTCTTTATGTGCTGAAGTTTGGTATTCACTCAGACGCAGAGAAGAGAATGCTGGTAGCCTAGATCTAGAATCTAGATTCTAGATACATGTATGTATTCACAGTATGCTATTCACACTGGGTTAGATTTTGAGGTCCGACAGGGCTTGGGCTTGAGAGCTAGGGATAGTGTTACTGTTAGGTCTCTTCTTTGTCTTTATTGTGTTTGTTGGGGTGGTCGCTGTTACTGTTAAGAAAGTCCTTCCGCTACGTGTACACACTTTTTTTGATTCCTTAAAGGTAGTGTCAATTGCCACCGAGTGACGCAGTGGCAATTGACAGCAACCCCCCGGCGTCCTGAAGGTGTATACAGACCCGGTAACCGGGAACAAAGTCACAAAGTATACAGACCCGGTAGGGGAACTCTTTTGTGATTTCGGAAAGTTTCAGCGCCCTCTTGGCTCAGGGTAGACTTAGGTTCTTCTAGTAGATCTCTATGGCCTAGGCTAGGTCTAGATCTAGATCTAGACAGACAGACATAAATCCTTGGTCTAGTTTCGAGGCTAGCCTAGATCTAGATCTAAATGAAGATTGCGGATGTCTTTTCGATGAACGATCGTTTTTCCTCCGTTTTGGAGTTGGAGGAATTACAATTTGAAGAAAAGAACAATGTCATAATTTCTCTCGAGCAGTCATCCTCTCTATTTCTCTCTCGCTCTGTTGCTCGTATTCTCTTTTTCTTTGTTTGTCTCTGTCTTTCTTTCTCCCCACCTATTTTCCACTAGACGTCTATATCTTTCTCTCGTTCCCTCCTGCCAACTGGGGCATGTCATACATTTTGCTAGCACTTCCCCCTGCTCTTTCTCTCCCCCCCCCCCCCTCTCTCTCTCTCTCTCTCTCTCTCTCTCTCTCTCTCTCTCTCTCTCTCTCTCTCTCTCTCTCTCTCTCTCAAACACACACACACACACACACACGCACACACACTACCGGGTCTGGGCGCTGAAACTTTCAGAAATCACAAAAGAGTTCCCTTACCGGGTCTGTATACTTCGTGACTTTGTTCCCTGTTATCGGGTCTGTATACACTTTTGGTGTTGGTCCAAATTGCGGAAACTACACAATTAGGGTTAATGAATGTGATGTATATCGTTCGAATCATCAAACATTTTTAAAACTATTAATTTGCTAATAATAATAATAGATAGCATTTGTATAGCGCATATCCCCACTCAACAGCAGGCTCTGCGCTTTACACTATATTATTACCCCAGCAGACCACAGAACACTCCGAAACATTCTCAGCTTCCCGGGAAGCATACAGTGCCAGCAGCTGATTAAACGCTTTTACACTAACAAACTGACAAGATCTTTCGCTGTCTATAGCCGGGTACCCATTCCCACCTGGGTGAAGTGAGGAAAATT